ATATGTATATATATATATTATTTTTTTTTTTTTTTCGTTTAATCTAAAGTAACAACATGCTTTGGTTAACTTTAGGGAAGAAAGAGAAAGGAAGATTCAGCGAAAGTGAAAGCACAGAAAGAATGATTGAAAGGAGCAGATCTAATTGTCGTTTTTCTGGCCGTTTCTTACGTAGATAATATTTATATACTATAGGACAATACTAGAAGCGCACTGACGATGCATTCTTGAGCATATTCATCTGACAATGCGCAGCTCATTGTATGATGCACATAAATCGAAATGAGATTGCCTCAGTGAGACTTTACTTATAACATTCTACATTAAAAAATTAAAGAGCTTCAACAATTAATTTTAATGATTTAACTGAAATTGATAGATTAACTTTAATTGTTTAAAATTATTGGAATTAAAGCCTCTCCATCATGTTGCACACAATGATTGAGAAAGGAAAGCCGATATAATAAATCGCAACAAATATTTCTATATTTTCTTGAACACATTTTTCAATCGCGAAGTCAACTTCGCTATGGTGATCTCATTTCAACTTATGCTATTTAAACATTCGCACGAAAGATACGTCGCCGGTCTACAAAGGAACATCTCGCAGACCAGAACTTCAATTCAGTTAAAACGATGTATTCAAGTTTATATATCCGTGGCGGTTTACTCAATCTCGCCGCCGCCAAGTGAACTTTGTTCGCTGACTCGTCGTCTCCGTTGTCGGAATGGAAGTGACCGGATGGGAGTACGGACACGCTGGTTTGGTGCAGAAGGGATGATACTTACATTGCTGAGCGGGGTGAGAGAACACGCAGCCTAACTTTGTGCAAGACAAACCGAATTTGCACTTGGGATGTTTGTAGGCGCACTTGTCTCCGTACTTGCATGCCGGAAAGGCACTGTAGAGAAAAGAGAAGTTGATTAATATTAAAATCAAATGCAAGTTTCTGTGCTGAACAAAAGCTACGTTAAACACAGCACGTTACCTGCACATGACAGGGGGATGAAGGTACGCGCATTTGTTGCCCAGCGTACAATTCGGCCAGTACCTACAATTCTCCCGGGATTTGTCTACAACGGCCGGGGCTGTACTTTCCACCGGTTTTTTATCTGCAACTGCAAACAAAGATCAATGTAGCGATACGTTTTGCGCTTCGTGGACACAATTAAATCTTAATGCATACATTTGATCGTTAGTGTCGGCAATACCGCGCTGGATTTCAATCGCACAGGACTCGGGGAATGAGATCTGTTGTATACTATGGGGCTCAATTTTCTCCGCTTCCGCGGCACTTCATCAGTCTTATCCACGTTCTCCGTATTGCAATTTTCATTGTTCTCCTCTCCGCTCGTCTCCTTCGGACTGGCCTCGACATCGTCCTCCATTCTATCCGCCTTCATTCTGAACGCGTCTGTCTCCAGCTCGTTCTGCGCCGCGTACGTTTCGTTATGCGTCGTCAATAGCGCAAGCTCGTCGTCCTCGTTCACCTACGAGCATGAAGAGGAATATCGTGCATCTAGAATGCGCGCAAAAATCAAAATCGAGAAAAACACTTTGTAAATGACGAAAAATATTACCTCCATTTCCAGTTGCTCTTCGTCGTCCTCGGAGCCGATCTTCTCCTTCGTGAGATTATTGTTGTATCCATTCAGAGTGACTAAGAATTTCTGATTGTCGTCGCTCCTTTGGAATAACGACATTACGACTCCTATATGCTCGTCTGTTACCGCTTGTGGTACATCTAGAGATTATGCGACAGTGAATATGTTACAAAAATACTGGGAGTCGGATGAAAGAGTTAATCTTCGTATCGCGAAAGTATTAGTATCGTAATATTTATTTGTTTAGAACGACTTTGATTAATTTTTGATACTGTATTTAAATTGTTAGTGTTAGATATTAGAAAAAAAACTTCCGTAACTCTTTCAAACGCTAGTACCAGAACACGTTTTCGCATGAAAGCAGGACTTACAAGACTCGGGCTCGATATCTTCCGCATCCAGATTATCTACCGTGTTTAATTCGACTTGGATCTTTTCCATGACCAGTCTCTTACTAGAATTAAAATGTACCGACAAGTTTTGACTTACATCACGAGCCGGAGCAGGTTTAAGACGTTTTAAGACCGGCTTCTTGTCCTACCAAAATTGAGTTTTTGATGAAAAAAAACATTTTTTTCTTTTCGACGTTTAAATTTGTCCAGAAAATATCGGTATTAAGCAAAATTTTGACATTCTCATTCTCGGCATTCAATTACAAGGATTTCCATTCAAATGTGATTTATATATTTGCAATTCCTATCCAATAAAACTCACCAGAGACGGCTCCGGATTCTTTTGCGTGACGACTGATTGATTCGCTTCCGCAACCGCTCTCAATAAAAGCGACTGCGTGGCGCGTTTTTGCGTTGGTTGCAGCGGTTTCAGAGGTCTTGGCGTGACAATCACTTTGCTCGACAATCTCGTGTCTTCGACGTCCTCGTCCACATCGCTAGATTCATTTCTGTCCTTATCCAACTGCAATTTAGCGCTTCCATATCCCGGGTAGCCAGAATGTTGAGTCGCATTAAAGAGGACCTCACTCGACGCTTTTATACGTTTCTTGTCGGTCTTTCCGGCGACCGAGAATGTAGATCTGTTGACAGCGACGATATGCGATTTCACAGGACCCGCCAGCGTTTGATCGTCGTTGTCCAATTCAGTCTCCTCCTCCTCTTCTTCTTTCTCCTCTTTCTCGAAATTCAGAGATTCATTATCTTCGCCACTGCGAGGCTGTCTCTTATGCACCGGCCTAAAATTGTTCCTCAACGGGCCCAATCTGTCCTTGATGTTCTTACTATTGTTGCCAATTTGTTCTGAACTCTTTGGGTTGTGTCTGTAATCTGCTGTCTCCTGCAATTTAACAGATTGCTTCTGCACTTTGTTATTGATACCCGTAATACCTAGACGATCCTTAACAGTGCACATGGATTTCTTTGCAGTATCCGTTTTCGAGCTGGAGTTTTGGATCCTCTCTCTAGATTCTATAGTTTTGCCGAGTCTTTCGTTTTTGCTGCTCTCTATTCGACTTCTCACATCGTTGACTTTGTTCGTCTCGTGATGACGCAAGGAGTCGCCGTCGCGGTTCCGTCTGGAGTTTCGATCGTCCATCTCGAAATTCCTATTTCTGTTGCGGCTGTCTTCGTAACGATGCGGTTTCTCAAACCGCTTTTCCGATAGACGGTGGCGACTGTTATCTTCTTTCTCTCTGTAAATTTCAAACTTTTTTCTCGGTGATGACAGGCCGAGCCGAGTCTTCACTGACACGACCGAAGTGATCTTTGGCTTATTTACGCAGGATTTAAGTTTCCTGGAAGCTGTGTCTGAAGATGACGCGATTACATCTTCCTTTTCCTCTTCAGACGGTTTTGACCGTTTTGCTTCATTGTTCTTTTTCTCTGTACCGTCCTGACAACTACTCGACGCCTCTAGTGTTCTCTTCAAACTTTTATCCGACGCCTCACTCAGTCTTTGGTCACGATGCAAATCCGGGATTTTTACAACGAAATTTTCCGAACTAGCAGTTTCTTTCGTCGTATTATCGTCGCGCGCAGAACTCTTCTGTGGCCTTTTCGAAGAGGCCGATTCTTGATGAGATTCACTATGCGCCTCATCTGTTTTGTTTCTGCTATGTACACTCTTGACAATTTTCTCTGTACTCTTATTGTGATTCTGCTCTAAATTTTGATTCAGTATGGAAGATGTTTGTGGTTTTTGTACCGATGGTTGCTTATCGTTCTTTGCATTTTTATCCAAAGATTTCTCAGTGGTAGAAAGCTCCATTGTTTGATCCTCCAGAAACGAGGTCGCGGATATTTTTCTCTTCTTCCTCTCTTCTTCCTGCTTCACAACTACTGTAGGTACAAAATCGCGTGATGATTTCTTCTTCGCTACTGTGACTTTCTGTAATTTTTTTAGCACTTGATCGTGCAACCAATCCACAAATATAGTTGTGCAATCTTCCAGAAATAAATTTAGATCATCATGCATCTGTTGACGAGATTTCTTATTGACTACCATTACCAATATATAATCTGGTAATTCCTCATCATAGCGAACTCCTAACTCCATAAGCTTTGCCCGAATGGCGCTCTGAAAAAATAAAACAACTTTAATATAAATAAAAATTGTACAACAGTTTGTTCTATATACTCTATGATTGAAACATAATCTGATTTTCAATTAGTAATAAAATCTGTTAGAAATATTTGTGCTTAAAAACTTTCAATTATGCTCACAGTCTGATTTTTGTATGCATAAAAACAAAGGTCAATGCTTTGTAAATAAACAAGTTTCAGAGCTGACAGTACACAGGAAATTTTTACGTAGATCTGATAAAGTGTAAGTATATATTACTTCAAATGTGCACACATGCATACACATTCATATCCTTTTGAAGAATTCGATATTATGATATAATAATCATGACCTTAATGTATAGTCTATATTTCCATGCAAGAAAATCAGTTATTTCTATCAGACTGGATCGTGCAAATTTTACACTGTGCACATCCAAGACACACGTTTCAACACTCACTCGGAGTTGATTCGTGACTTCGATGCCACGCGTATCCATGATCACGGAATGATTGCTAAACTTCAAACAGGTCGAACAGGCCTCGCAGAGCTAGAAACCGGTCGACTGGATAAGCCGACTGCAATTACGAATCAGTCTATTATGGAACAAAAACATTCCCCGCCATGATAGATGGAACGTCTTCGCTAGTCTTCGCCTTCACAGTGTCATTGATGAGATACTATCAAAGACAGTCGGCCTCGCAGGAATTCATATTACTCGAAGTATTTGCTGCACGTTAACGCCCTCAGATATTGCGGTCAGGATGAGAAGCAGCTAGCCGAATTGGACACAAATGGTAAATCATCAACGTATCTGTGAAACATCTAATAATAAATTATAAAATAAATATTGCCTTATAAATCTTTTATTATAAATCTAATATTTGTACATTTTTATATTAAATATCTAAAACAACTTATAATGTCATTAATCAAAATAAAATTTATTTGTTACCACTTTACTGTGCGAAGATATTAACAATTCTATCGATTGCTGATCATATCCCGAGTGATACCGATTTTGATTACCCAAAGCTAACTGACAGTGTAGTCATACAGTCTATATAAGCTAACAATCTACTGATCAACTGGTCGTAGTAACGTAGTTACGATAATTTACACATACGCCTACACTACACGTACACACACATACAATTACGTCACGTTCACTCATAAATAGGCATGTGCTGGATTTTTAAAATCCTATAATTTTGCGAAAAATGAAGCGATATGCAACAAAAACAGATATTCTGTGCTTCACATTTCGTAGATGCTTATATTCAGTTTATTGCTCTTATCGTGATACATATATATCAATATATTTATATAGAATATAAAATGATAGATAGTAATATATAGAAAAGAGAGTCTTATCTGATAAGTATAGAATACTTATTTATTTATAAACAATATTTACGTTTAATTAACAGTTTAATTAGATAGTGTGTTAAAAGAAGTAATAATCTATTAAAAGAATAATTATATTATGCTGCCGCACCGAAGAGATTAACCAGAAAAATTATGTTGGCTTATCCAATATGCAGACAGAAGAGCCCTTGAATTAAAGTCATCGTGAAAAATATTACTTTCTTAACTGTTTCATTAAAATCTTAATCTCCTTGCATCTTAATAGAGTGCCTCGACGCATAAATGCAGTTAATTTTTTTTTGGAAAGAAACATAATTAATATATATGCGTACAATCTTTACGAAAAATAATTATAAATTGCAAAATTTATATTTTATTATGTGATTAAAATATATATTGTACTAATTGCAAGATTCAGAAGATTTTTCAAAAATAATATCAAATATTACTCACGGAAAGAAAGTTACTAAAACATGTTAGATGTAATTTATGATAGTGAGCAAAGCGTACGAAAGTAATTTAGGTGTAGCACAGTCGCAGCGGGTGGTGCGCAAAATTGGCCGCGTAATTTTCGATTTTCTGCCGCCGTTGCCTGCGATAGCTATTTTCTCGAAGTAGATAATTCGCAAGATTTATTCCATCGAAGTTCATTGCGCGAGCTGTCGACAAAGTAGCTGCCAAATAAAATATAATTGCGCACCATCAGCGGCAACTATGCTACATCTAAATGATATATATGTGAAAATGCGTGTTGACTGGATCGATAAAATGTGAAAACAACAGTGTCACACACATCCGTTTAATGGCACTCGTGTGTTAATGGCAATTTCGCGTATATTTTTTTCTCCAAAGCGTGTTTGTTACGTATACGTATGTACGCGTCGCGATCGCACGATATGCACATTTTCTCGTATTCTCGAGTTACATTGCGACTGTGATTATCTCTGTGGGAACGTCGCGTGGGTATCGATGTAAAATTCGAACCGCTACGAAGAGGACACCGCGATTAACAATAGTATCACGTGATTATGCGTGCATTCCACTATATGCAATTGGGGGAGGAAGAGAGGTAGGGATGATTACGCGAATCTATATATGTAGCGTTCTGTGCGATCGTCCGTGACAATCGCGGTAAGGTTTATTCGTGACGATTGCAACGTGACAATACGTGAGGTGTAATTTCGGCGCGATGGAAGGAGCAGTGCGTTTTGTCGTCCTGATGACGATTCTGCCTTTCACGATGTAAGACAAATCGCGGCATAATTATTCAAGTATTTGTAAAAAGAATTGCTTGTTTGTAGAGGAGCCAATTTCAAATTTTGAATGAATGATTGAATGAATATATTATGTAGGATTTTATTTGTTTCTTTTTACAATCTTGCCAATTACGGTTATTGCAACTTCTCTTAATAACTCTTTAAGGCAAGAAGCTTCGGAGGGTGCGTGTAGTTGCTCGGTATTCGCTGTTCCGGGAATAGAACCGATAATGGAACACACGCTTCGATACAATGTGAATTGCGATCAAGAAGGTAACGAAAAGTGCAAACAATTACTGTGTCGCCTTGGTGAGTACATTTTTACATTATTTCCGTATTACATATTTCCATCGTGTACATAATATTAACTATAAATGTGTTTCTTATTTTTTAATTTTAAAGGACATATGTAGGGATAATATTTTAAATAATTATTATAATATTTTATTATTAATAATAGCAAGAAAATAAAAAAAAAATATTAAATATAATATTTTTTGCATTTATAGGCTGAAAGTGCTCGAGATAAGGCACCGGCGCTGATTTGTGAAAAGCTAAATATGGATGTCGAAAATTTAAAGGTGTGACCAATTATACGTAATATATCCAATTTCACTAATCTATTTATATATATATAATTTTTGCTTAAAACTTAAAGCAAAAAAATATCTACTAAATTTAAAAAATATTTTGTTTTTATGTTAAATTTATTTTTATTTTCATTTAACATGAATAAGCAAATACAATTAGAATCACGTACAAAAACTGAATAGAAGTCATATAAAAATATTATTTTACATAACTCAAACATAATTGCATTATTTTGATTTAATTATTTCACTCTTTTAAATGTTAATTTCCGCAATCATAGCATAAAACATTTTTATTTTTCTCTCTCTCTTTGTTTTTTAGGTGGAGCTGTATATGAAATCATGTAATATGACTTTTTGGACATTTACTGGTTTAGAGAGCACAGAGCCCATTTGCTGTCACGAAGGAAAAGCGGTTGTTTGTGATGAAGCGATGTCGATAATAGAGAATTAACGAGCTGAAACTCATTATTTCCCGTTCAATTCTATCATTAATGAATATTCTATTATTGATTGTATAATAATATATAGTATGATCAATATACTACTTCTTGCTACATCAACAGCATTATTCGTTCGCAATTTTTCAGATATTTACGTAGAGAAAGAGTAACACTTTGCAAATCAATAAAATAGAATTTTTAAATGACTATATAATATAATATAATATATATATATATATATATATATATATATAATAAAGTATATAAACAATAAGTCTGTTGAATTTATGTAGAATTTGAAGAATGCCGTTTCGGGAATTTCGGAACATTACTCGATATGCATTTATATCCTTTGTTCCCTCCACAAAGCTCGGATGCCAAGACTGAGACTGCCAAGAAGTCTATCTGCTGTTGAAGTCTGTATACAGATGGTAAAGCTCAAGCTTAAAATATAATAATGCTGATTCTACAACTCTAAAATACCTGATTTTTCGCAGAATTTATCCGATGAAATATCTGTTTGCGTTCTATTCTGTATTCTTCATGTCATTATAAAATATTCTGCAAAAATTCATTTCTAAATAATAAATAAATGTAAAATATAACATGGTCACATTTGCACGCAACTCGCGACTTTAATATTAATAAAAAAATTTCTGACAAGCTTGGAGTAAATTTTTCTCTAAGAAAATTATATCGAGGTATTAATAGCAGTTGATATAAATTTAAAAGTTGTTTAGAGTTTCATAAACTTATATATAAATTTAAAAGTTCTTAAGAATTTTGAACTTAAATAACTATTATCTAATAATTTCGATTCTCGCAATGAAGCATCTCCGTAATCTTCATCGAATCTCTTTTCAGATGTTCGCTTTTGAAATCGATCCTATTCTGTTCTACTTAATACTTTTTTGTTCAATACTTTTTATAATAACTTCTAATAATACGAAATAGATGTTCAATAGAAATACAAGGATCTATTTTTCTTTTTCACGCTGTTATGTGGCCAGACTTCGATTATCAGTAGATTAAATCTCGGCAGCTGTGCTCTCGCATATCTAAAAGTCAAAGCTCCCTCGAAAGAAAGTACTCTTGAAAGCATTAAACGGTATTCATTCTCAACAGACCAAAACTTTTTTCACAAAGTACAAACACTGCGATTTACTATACGAGGTGTATCGTGAGATATAAGATTTTAATATATTTGTTCTTTTGACGAAAGTGGAATGTATTCTGTTTTCGTAGAAATCTTAGAAGATTTAATGATAAAGTGATCTGGCACTGCGAATCGGAAGCTTTTATTAAGTTCCAAAAGAGTAAATAGTAATGTCTGATTCTACGGTTACTTTTTCGTCTTTGACAAACATTTAACTTCAGATTTAAACACTAAAATGTCGAACGTGGAATTTGCATAGCTAAGTGACGGCAAAGAATAGTCTTTAATTAAATTTAATTTTGCTAAAACAGGGTCTCTAGAAACTTCCCAAGTAATTCAACACTACTACAAATTCTCACGTTTCATGATTCACCCCAGTATACGTCAAACTGTGGATCCTGCCACGTACAAGTATGAACGTTCTATTCCACCGACTCCATACCCTCTATTTCGATGATGGCGTTTCTCAGAGTCTTGTCCCAGAAGCCACTGGCATTGAATGGACGGTTTGTTATCGCTTTCCCCCTCCCCGATTTCCTGAGACCGAGTCCTCGTCCGAACTCTCCGACGCATCTCTATAGAGCTTGCCAGCCGCGAAAGCCATTGTGCAACTGAGGTTTTGTCGTCTTTTCTTCGGTCGATTTTAATGATTGCCATTTCCGCAAGCGAATCCTGATCGCGCGATTTCGGATCAGTATAATCTGGTACCTGTCGTGTCGTGCGAATGTGACAAACTGAATGTATCAGTAAATGTCAGAAATTTATTTCTCATGCGACATAAAGATACTTCTTTGTCACATAATTATCTTTTGCGTATTCCATGAGTTTAAAGTTTTCAATTCTTCTTGAATTTAATAACAAAAGAAAAATTGTAATTCAAAATGATAATTTCGCAGCAAAGACTCCTATTATAATTTTAATGAATATTTCT